GAGGCACTTAGCCAACTGAATCTAGGCAAGTCTTTCTAAATAATCACAGTACTCAAGAGTCAGGCAAGAAAGCAGAGAGCAGCAAGTGCAGGGGAGAGAGGAGAGGCCCAAGACTCAACTTGAAAGTCTGATTTGCTTTATAGAAGTCAAACACATTGCAGCAAAAATTCCTGATGTTCGAGGAAGAACAGAATAACAGAACATTATCTTCCAGTTCAAGAGCCTCAAAAGTGGCCTCACAATTAAGACAGACAATTGTGCAAAATTCAGTTTGACTTCATCTCTCTGAAATAACTGTTTAAGTATTTCAGAAAAGACAGAAACAGATTTTCCTCTGCACCTCCCACCTCAAGATTAACAGAAAAGTTGTTTCCTTTACACTGTTCAAGGTTCACAGTTCCCAGCAGCAAAGTCTGCTTCTTCTCTAAGCAACCCCTCACCAAAAAATGAGGGGGCAGAACTGGGAGCTGAAATTGAGCACATACTAAATCATATCTAAATGTTTATTTCTCCAGAGAACTTGCAATTGCTATAAATGTACTACCATATAGAACAGCTCTTCAGAAAGCAGAAAATTGAAAATAGGCAGAATTTGGGACAAGGCCCCAAAGAATGAAAATCTAACACTGTGTCAAAATAATGACAAATAATACCTGCACCTCCGAATTCTGTCTTCAGCCTTCCTTCCTCTTATTGCCTTTTAAAATATGGGGAAATAGGGAGAAACACACACAAACTTTATCTTAATTATCTGTAATTATTGTATTCATATGTTAGTAGCCTCCTATCACTTGCTTTACAATATAATCTTGAAGAAAAGTTCCTCTGCTTCTGCTTGACCTCTTGGCAAGAGGTCAAAAAAAACCCCTATAACCTAATAATGGTGATAGACACTCCAGCTCCTTCAAGCACAGTGAATGTTACACTCAGAATATCACTGTCTCAGACAACTATCCCTTTAAAGGGTGGAGCAATAAATTCTTTACCATATTAGTGAGAGGTCATAAAAAATAAAAAAAAAGGTTGCTCAGTCTACTAGTCCTTCACATCAGTTACAGGGGTTGTGATCTGCCAGGTTCCTCAACCCATAATCCATGGCTGCTGACAAGCTCAGGGGTTTTTTTGCTTCAGTCTAAACAGCAACATAATTCAAAGAGAACTGTCCTCTTGACTTGCCGTCATCATGAGCACAATCGAACACTCCTGAAATTTGATTTTTTTTTTTCCCAAGAGGCAAGAGATGCTGATGCAATTTCATCACGAAAAGAAAATGAAACCCTATAACTCTGTGGTCAGTGATCAAGGACTGGAAGAAGAATTTAAACAGGCTGAGCAAGTCACCTACGATCTTGACATCTACAAGAAACCGAAAGAATACTTAAAAACATAGATGCACAGGATCAAGAGCCACATAATCTAAAAAGAGTATAACCAGACAGTAGGAGAAAACAGCTTTCCCACTAAATTCCAGCAATTTGATTCTCTCTGAAAAGGGTGCCTACCAAGCATTTAAAAGCAGCCCTCCTGAGGAATCAAAATCTGCTTCACCACTTGCTCACATGGTCTCTACATTTCACACCAGCACAGACAAGTCCTTCCAGCTGTGGACAGACCACCACGCAGAAGACAGAGATACACTGCTCCGAGGAGATTTTTCAGCCAAAAAGGGAGAAAGGTCAAAGGACTCATCCCACATAAATGGCTGAAGCGCTTTTAAAATGGAAGGTGACAAAACAGAGGCCTTATAATGTTTACAAAGCTCTCGCTTATCACAGAAGTTTTAACAGAAACTGTATTCAGCCTTGAGGGTTTGAAAAGAAAGAAAGCATGCAAGACTCAGCTCAGTGGAGGCAGCACATAGCAAAATTAGAGATATTTGTCATAATGAAGGAAGTTTCATGACATCTTCACAGCAATTTGCTACTCATAACCGCTCAGCAGTGACCTCTTTGAGGAATCCTACTGTTTACATACCAGTGCTAAGCAATCTTTTCAGTATCACATCTTAGTTCTAAAGAAGACAATTTCTCAGGTTACACAGGAAAAGCCTGTAGCCATCACACTGATTTCAGAAAGACGTTTTAAAGTGTAACTGCCACAGGCACGTTTGACAGCTCCCCATGTTTTAAGAAATGCTTTAGCTATGTATCTGAGTTGAGAGCAGTCCTGACACTAGACAAAAAGGAAAAAACAAACCAAACCAAACCAAAAACCCAGAAAAACCCATGTGTTCATATGGGGACCATTCTTAAGTTTTAAACGAAAAAAAAACGTTGTGAATCTCTATTAGATTCACTGAAACAATTTTGATTTTATTGTAGGTTTACCTTACAGCCACATTTTTCTAAACTGCCCTGGCTGAAGTGCATCTCAGATAACAAGCCCGTAGTGCACAGAAGAGGCTCAGAAGAGGTTTCTGGGAGATTTTTGGTAGAGTAATAGTTCTGCAATTACTGTAGGTTGGAAACACTGCTAAAGCGTAAATATCAACTTGGACAAATCAGTATTTGGCCTCCAGTCCTCTATTCAGTTTTGCTCAAGTCACCTATACCCTGGCTGCCTCAAAGTAACATCACGGTCACCTGCTTAGGTGGTAGAAAGCCAAAGCTCACCTGGCTGTTTAAAATCCTGAACAAAAATTATTTATGAACCCATTTGATGATACTGTAAGAGAGGTGAAAAAAAATGAGAATTACACTCCAGGCTAGAGCATTATGACAAAAATGGGCACTGCCAAAACATTTAAAAATATTCATAGGTAAGCAACCTGCTCCAGTTTAAACATACCAGCATAGGAATCGCAGGCATGCGAGGTAAAAGGCCTGAGCGATATTCTCCTTCATTAAAATCATGAGTTGGCAGAGGGTGGAACACTTTCATCTCGCCCTATATCCATCTGAGCAAACACTCAAGTTTAGGTTGAACAGGTTCTCAGACGTGTGGAAAGCCTTATCTATACAAAACACAGACAAACCTGTTTAAGTATGTCTGTATGAATGTTAAGCAAGCAACCTGGGAGGCTAAACCAGTTCTCAGGTGCAGCCAGCTTCTCTGGCATAATGGGAACAGGCTGGCCATCCCAGATATGCATAAACTGCTATTAAAATAGCTCTACTCTCCCATCTAAATGAACGGTTTCCCAAGAATCATTATGGGATTTGAGAGAGGGCCAGGGGAAAAAAAAAAAAAAAAAAAAGAGCCATCTTGTTTATAAACAGTCAGTTTCACTGAGGAACAAAAAAACTTCACTGCCTCTTTTGCAAGTTTCATGTATGCTGGAATAAAGTGAAGTCACCTCTCTGAAATCACCATTTTTTTTACTGAGTCTGTTTCAAAGCTACATTCACATAAAAAGTGATGAAACTGTAAAAATAACCCATAACTTCACACATTCATCTCAGAATCATGCTGACCAATTCTAAAGCTGTTTAAGAGGATTTACTATTCCTGCTGAACACAAAAGATGAGGCTAGTTTCTTCATTAGCTCAGTATCTGAGAGGATGCAAAGTTGAGAAGTGTAAAAGGACCTGAGTGGACCATCACTACAGACAGACCAGTGCAGCTTTAGGACTGCAGATTGTAAAGACTGAGCCTCTCACCCAGCCTTTCTTTGCCAGTGTTGACGCACATCGAATTCCTCATGTTGGGACTTTCATTCCCAACATCTGAAAGAGAAAGCATGGAAAACCAAAAACAAGACAAGTGGCCAACCATAACAAAGATGCAAAAATTGGCAGGAATGTGGAGGAAAGAGAAACTCTGTTAGTTATTCCAGACTTGTATGAAGCACCAGGCACACCCTTCCTCAAAACCTCTGCCTTCTGTACTGTCCAGGCCACTTGCTCACCTCTAACAATTAGTGAATTTCCCTCGCTCATCCTTTTTGACTTTCACAGAGAAACCTAACCTGTCATTCCCCAGGAACTTACTCATCACCATCTGAGCTTCAGTCAGCTCTGGTCTCTCATAGACCAAATGTCTGAAAATCTCTCTTTCTCTTCAACAGTCAACTGTACTGCAGAGTTTTATAAACAGGTATTTCCTTGGCAATTTTTTTATTGAGGGGGGGAAAAAAACCACCCAAACCTGCCACAAAACCAAACCCAGTGGTTTGAAACAAGTAACCACCAAATCAGCTGCTACAGAAATACAAGTTTAGTGGCTGTGTTACAGTCCCTGCTCAGGTTACAGAGTCGCTGCAAACCCAGTTAAACATCCACTACATTTTGGCAGCTCTTTGAGTGACAGCGTAACCTGAAGACGTTTTGTGAACCAAGCTCCAAACATTAAAACGGGATAAAATAATTCTTAGCATAAAATCACAGAATCACAGAATGGTTTGGGTTGGAAGGGGGCATTGAAGATAATCTTGTTCCAACTGCCCTGCCTTGGGCAGGGACACCTTTCAACTAGACCAGGTTGCTCAGAGCCCCATCCAAGATGGCCTTGAACACCTCCAGAGATAGAAACATCAACCGATTAGGTTTATACTGTCTCATCCTCGACCTCGCCGGTGGAATCTCGTCTCTCGGCACTCAAGCACTGCTTAAAAACAGGGGGAAAACAAGCAGGCGGAAATGCAAGTTTTTGGTCAGATACGGGGGCAGAGAGCGGCGGTCGGGCCAGAACAGCGGGGCAGCGACACACGGACGGCACGGGCGGGGACAGGAGCGGGGACAGGACCGAAGCCAGGGCCCGCAGCCGGCCCGCCCAGCCCGGCCGCTCCGGGGGCGCTCCCTGGGCCGCGCCGGCCCCGGCCCTTTGTTCGCCCGCCGCGGGGGCAGCGCCCGGGCGGAGCGGGGCCTCGCCGCGGACAGCCCCTCAGCGCCAAGACGGGGCACGGAGAAGGCGAGGCCGGTCCCCCCGGGGCCCCGCAGAGCCCGGCTCGGGGCGGGCTGCGAGGCGCGGCGCCTCTCCCGCCGCAGCGGGGCGGCGGCGGGGCGGGAGGGCCCGGCACGGCACGGCTCGGCGCGGCGCGGGTCGGGAGCGCGGCACTCACCCAGGTGAGGAGGCTCTCGCCCAGCTCGGCGCGCTCCAGGCTCTCCACGTTGAACATGGCGGGGCTGCGGGGCCGCGGCCCGGTCGGTACCGCCGCTCCCGCCCCGCCCCGGGCCGGGCGGTGGCGCCCACACGTCACGGCGGCCTGACGGGGCCCGGCCGCGCCTGCGCCCGGCGGCGGCGGCGGCGAGCGGGGCGGGGCGGCGGCGAGCGGAGCTGAGGTACCGCTGAGGTACCGCTGAGGTACCGCGGGGGCACCGCTGAGGCACCGCCGAGGTACCGCCGGGGGTGTGGGGCCCGCCGGCCTCGCCCCGCACACCCGGCCGGGGCACCGGCCGCTCGGACAGGGGGGCGCGGCCCGCTCTCCGCCGCCGCTGCGGGCCCGGCGGGGCTGCGGGAGGAGGGCTCGGCGCACTGCCCTTCCCTTCCCCCCCCGGGCTCTGTGTGTGTGTCTGTGCGCTCGGCTGTGCGGGCGCGGAGGAGCTGGCTAGGACAGGGTCCGGCAGGGCTGGGAGCTTGTGGGGTTGTGAGGGTGCTGCCCCCGCAGCGTCCTCCTGTGAGCGGGCTGTGGCTTGGCGTGTGGGTGGAGCGGCCCGTACGAGGTTTTGTGCTCTTTTTGGAGTGGGAAATGACCCTGCACCCACGGACTTTCTCCTGTTGGTGAAAGGGGCAGCCTCTGCAAGGTTTCTCTCTTCTGGTAGTCGAAAACAGCTTTGCGCCCACAGACATCAGACGTTCTCATGTTGGTACCTAGTGTGGCTTGGCTTATGATAGGAGAGGCCTCCATAAGGTTTTCCTTTCTTTTTTGAAGCAGATTGTGACTTACTTTCCACACAACTTTGCTCTAGTAAAAATTAAAGAGGAGGCAACTTTCCAGTATCTGAAGGGAGCATTCGGGGAAGCCGGAAAGGGACCCTTCATCAGGAGCTGTAGTGATAGGACAAGGAGAAATGGGTACAAACTGAAAGAGGGGAAATGTAGGTTAGGTATCAGGAAGAAATATTTTACTCTAAGTGTGGTGAGACAGAGGAACCAGTTGCCCAAGGAGGTTGTGGATGCCCCAACCCTGTCAATGTTCAAGGCCAAGTTGGATAAGGCCTTGAGCAAACAAGTCTAGTGCGAGGTGTCCCTGCCCATGGCAGAGGGGGTTGGGACTGGATCGCCTTGAAGGTTCCTTCCAACCCTTAACATTCTAATATTCTATGATTTATAGAAGTTACCTGCTTAGCACTAGCTCCAAATGGTGACTAGGAAGAATTTCTCCACAGAAAGGGTGAGTAGACATTGGAATGGGCTGCCCAGGGAGGTGGTGGAGTCACTGTCCCTGGAGATGTTTAAGGAAAGACTGGATGTGGCACTCAGTGCCATGGTCTGGTTGACACAGTGGTGTTTGGTCGTAGGTTGGAGCTGACGATGTCAGAGGTCTTTTCCAACCTAATTGGTTATGTGTGATTCTTCAGGTAATTCAGTTAATTTTTAATCTCAAAGACAAGGAGTCTGTGGCCAGAGAGCTCCTGCTTCCTCACTGTGGCCCAGCCAGAGGAGCTCTCCATCAGGATGTGAAGGGGTGACCTGAAGAGTTTCAGTAACTTTCTCGGTAGTCAGTTAAATTCTGGCCCATCTGAAGTTTGCAATGACAATGTGAGGCACCATGATAAGTTCTGCAGTTCCCTATCAGTTAACAACTGGCCTGACATGCAACAACATGGAGTACCAGGCACAGCGCACTCGTACCAGCTGAGAATCGGATAAACAGCCAAGAAAGGAAGGGTTGCAAATGTAGAAGCTGCCCCTTTTTGTCTGTTTCTCAGAGTCCTTCCATTAAATAAATTAGCAGGGTGGACAAAATCTGAGTGCTCCCTTTTATGTCAGCCTGTTTTGAACTAAAGTGTATTGTAGAAGCCACAAAACCTTTCAAGTCTTCCCGGTAAAGTACTGTCTCACTGATCTCATTGTATAGCATGCTGTTTAAGTTATAAACTGAATCTCTCTGCATTTAAAGGTAGCTTTCACATTTGGGAATGAGTTTTAAAGTCTTAGAAAGCTGCACAACTATAACATTCCATTCCCAGTTTTAATGTGTGCTTTGAGCAATATCCTTGGTACTTTCAACAGACAGTGCTTACACAATATTTTTTAAGGTTTTCTGCCTTATCTTCCTTTAGATCCCGTTTCCTACTCTGCTTTGCTTGTTGCCATGAGGTGTAGCTTGTATTTTGTTGACACAAGCAAATATAGTAATTGCTTTTTGTCTTGTTGTCTCTTTTTGATGTGAAGTCGTATCTGCTAATGTTGCTTTCTACAATAAGGAATTCTTGGGCACTTTTCCTGGAAGAGATTTGGAGCCTCTTCATTCTTAGCTGAAGTATTACCATATTTCAGTAAACATTATTATAATTAAGTGACAATGTTTTCTTTTTCTTCCTGCCTGATCAGGGAAGTCAGATATCCAAATTGAAGGCATTGTCAGGCTCTTCCTCATGCTCCTATCTGCATATGGATTCAGTTCCACCCTCTGGTTTGTTTAGAACTCTATACCTTTTGGTATGTTTTAGCCTTATAAAGCAGTGCAAGACTTTACTGGGAATCATTTTAACAGGTCATGCATCACCCAGACAGATACTTGAAGCAGTAATGCTATATGGGCCACTGAATTTGTCTTTTTGCTTCAAGCCATCCATGTGGTTTCAGGTTCATAAGAAAAATGTTTGGAGATTTTTTTTTTGTTTTCTCAATAGAATGGTACCATAACTTAGGATTATTTTCCCTTACAGCGTTGCATCTGGAGTTTGCATCTGCATTATTTTTAACTTGTGAAGCATGATTCCATCAGCAAAACAGAATACCTACTTTCTTTTTTTCTTCTTTTTTCTTTTCTCTTTAGGAAAAAATGTGCCTCAGAGACTGCTGACCTCAGACCTCACAGAAACCTGCTTTACCAGGCAAGTGCCTCAGCTGGTCAGTTCCTAAGGTAGACTGAACAAAATCATTATTTGCCTTCTGAAATTGCCCTCCCCTTCTCTGGGCGAGACTCTTTGGACCCTTTGCTTTCTCTTTTGCAAGGGGCATGCATGCACATGAATGTAGTCAGCACAGTCCTGAAAGCAAAGGTGGTTCACAGTGAAGATGTAACTGAGTATTATATACAGCTGAGTTTGGGTATGATTTCATTGTACTAGGTGAGCTGATTTGTAACTCCAAAGTTGCTGCAAACTCATAATAATCATGCATTAACATACTACATGAAATCCTAGTAGGATAATCCCAAGTCCAGTTTTAGCAACCTTCTCACAGAATGTATCTTTTGCTATAGGTTGCTTTTTTTTTTTTTTTTTTTATTTCCCTTTGGTTTTCCCCTCCTGATTTTTAAAATGTATGGAGGTACTTAATATTAGAGATTGTTGTGTATGCTTTATTCAAATAAGAGTGTGCTCACACAAAGGAACACCTGATAAATTCTCTTTCCTTAGAACCATTTCTTTGGTGTACACAATCCATCATTGCCATTATTTCTGGCTTATAATGTTACATTTGCCTACATTGCTATTTCAAAGCCCAACTTTGGTACACTAAAGAATCTGGATAAAATGTATCATCTCGGGATTTAGCTGATCTAGGATTTGGGCCAGTAAACTCATAGAGTCTTCAATATTTTTACTGTTAATCATGCATATTTCATGCCAATCGTGCATATTTCATGCCTGCTGATGTTAGCTCTTTCCAAACGCAATCTGGGCATATCTTTGAACTCTTACAGAAAGAGAGCATAAATAACTGTGGGATCCAGTTTGCTGGGTCAAATCCATTCACAAAGTCCCGTTCTCAACCACAGACGGTGTCTGTGACCTGTTTCTAACCTGAAGCAGAAAGTAATTGGATAACTTCTGATGGGAGAGGTCACAATTATTACCGTACATATAAGAATTTGTCTTTATTTTGGGAACTTTTGTCTATTTTTCTCTGAAATTAAATACGCTAAATTTATGCCTTAGGTATTTCAATATAAGGTAATATGTTCTGTAATATGGATTACAGAACATGCTCTGTTTTAGTTATGTTTAAATTCTTAGAAGTTGATTCATGTTATCTAAAACAGGCCAATCTTATTAGAAACGTGTTGATATGAATTAAACCAAATTTTTGGGGTTTTTTTTCGTACCATGGAAAAAAATTTGAGGATTGTTTGTTCTTGAGAAAGTGTGACTCACAGTATTTTACTAGTTGGAGATGAATTACTTTATCCTGGAAAACACACAGTCTCTACAAATTAAGCAGAATTTTTAAGGGACAGGGATGATGCTTTTGCTATTAAAAGACAACTGGCAAAAGGAATTGCAAGTTCTGATTTGCACACTAGCCCACCATCACTGTCTTAACTTTATAATTTCTTTTCAAGTACTGACAGTGGCTGCCAGTACTGCATCAGGAGGAAAACACTCAAAATAAAACTGGAATAAGTGAAAAACTCCCAAATCCTGTTGTTCTCATCCCGTTGACTCCCAGACCATCCCCAAAAGGACACATAGTTATAGAGGTTGCCTTTCGGATTTTGAGCAAATTGTACCCTACCCTCAAAGTCAATACAATAAGGTTAATAACGTGTAGGTTAATAAATTTAATATCTTGTATCTCACAGCAGTATTGCTTGTGTGTTACCTCATTGTTAATTTCTCAGACATCAAGAGAGCCTTTTACTTCTTTTTCACTGCACTTGCACATTCCTTTGGTAGTGGGTTCTAAAACTCTCTGTGGTTTTGAGAGTGTATTAGCATATGGTACTTCCCAGATAAACGTAGAAAAGTTCAAACTATGGGAATACTTTCACTTTGGATAGCTGACAACAAGTGTTTAACATACCATGGTAAACACTGTATGGTTTTTAATTTCTTTATGAGCCGTGGCATGGGATATTGCAGCTGTGCTGTCTGTTGAACATTAAAAATTTTAATGATACTTTTCAAATCTTTGAAATGAAGAAATAATGCATCCACACTGTGTATGTATGAGTGTATGTCTTCATGCTCTGACATTTCCATGAGATCTGTATGAGTTTCCAAGAATGAAAGACATTGTACTTGCAGCTCATAATAGTTCTCCTTTTTTTGCTTAAACCTGCAAGCACTGTTCATAGGTAACCACAGAGGGAAAAATGTAACTTTTGAAAGATGTGTAGCTTCTTATTTGAAATGTAACTAAATTAGTGTTACGTTGTGTCAGTGATCACTCTGAGAAAAACTGGTAGTAGGCAAGATGGTTTTGTGTTCAGAGTTAGTTTCTGACAGTTTTTGCAAACAAAATTGCACGATTTTGCAAACAGCAAATTACATTCCTTTCCATTGCCAAGCATTTTGTGGACAGTTCAGTCTGAAGTTGTTTACATTCTGTTGCTATCAGGAATCCTGATGCAGATAAACCTGATCCCAGTCTAAGTACAGTGCTGCGATGTCAAGCTGTAACTTAGCTAGTCCACGTGGAATGGAGAAGTAATTCTCTGTCTTTTTTTTTTCCCTTTCTGTATTGTTTTGCTTCAAGCAAGTGCCAATAAACTGAGGGTAAGATGAAATAAAACTGGAAATTAAGTTTTGGGCCTCTTTGTTGCTGTTTTTAATGTGGGGGAAAAGGCCCAACATTTTTGTCAGTTTTTTAAATTTTGCAACTGATACTTTTAACATTCCATAGTTGATTGTATAAATTCCAGTTTTGATGTGAGTATTGTTAAATGTAGCTTGGTTTTCATCACCTAACTGGAACAGAGGGCAGAATTGTGCTTTTATTTAAGTAAGACATGGCTAAAAAGAGAAAAAGTCTTAAATATAACCAATATATGTGTTTTATTGAATTAGTATATACCTATAGTAGGTTTTTATATCTAGAGTGTATACCTATATAAGTTTTTATGGAATTTAGTATAAACCACATCAGCTTGCTCTGAAATTGTGTCAGATTATTAGCAGTTACTATTTTAGGAGTGATTAGATGTCTTTGATAAAATTTGCTTCTGGAAGTCTTCTCTGACATGCAGTCTTTATGAAAGCTGATTGTCTCTGAAGACTGAAGCGCCTTCATTACTTTATTTAAAAGCTAAATCACCCATATCTTGCTTATTAGTTGTACCACCTGAAAGAGCACCTCTGCTAAGTACAAGCACTATGAGGCAAGAGAGCTCAGCAGCTATTTTGGTGCTGTTATCTGGGCCTATCATGCATGCAAACCACTGCAGATGTCTTCATGGGCTGTTGTGGTTGCACCTTAAAAAACGTGAACTGCAAGCTTGCAGTTCTAGATATTTTGTTTGAAAACATTCAAAACAGACTTGAAATCAGAAAATTCCTTCCTCCTTCAGGCAGGCATCTTTTTCTAATAGTGTATTTTAGCATTGTTTTCCTTTGTAGCCATCACTTTTTTAACATGCTAACTCAGAGATAACAGGAGGAGGAGGAGATTGTTACTGTCTCTACTGAGGCTTGAATTCAGAGAAAGTGTGTTTTGGTCTTTTGAACTGATACCCTTCTGTTTTTAGTTCCTAGTCCACACAATTCATGTCAGCTCTCCTGTGCAATGATCTGATTCAGAAAAAGCTTTAAAGGTAATGAGGAAAATATGCTCAGCACTTGTTGGCTGTCCAGAAGCAGCAAGTAAGTTAAAATATGAACAACATGAGCCTTTAGCATTGATAGCTTGTCTTCTCTAGAATTCAGTGATAGAAGCAGCTGGTGAGACTGAGGCAGGGATTCCACTCCCGCCTCTATACATCTTTGCAGTGTTGATAAGTGAAGACAAAGTGTCTGAGGAAGTGGTGTTTTATGTAACAAGAAAGACTTTGCAAGAATATCTGTTGAACGCTATGTTTGTGTGAAAATGGCTCTTGTAAAATCATATATGTTACAAAGTGAAGGGGTGAAGTAGATACAGATAACTGGCATTATGTGCAAGAAGGAAGAGAAGGTGAGGTGTGTTTGTTTTTCATGTTCTGCTGCTAACCTTTGCACTATAGTTTGGTATTTCAAGAGAAATGCATAAGCAGAAATGAAGGCAAGCAGATGTAGTGAGTGCTATTAATGGTAGGCAGATAAGGATTAAGTGTTGCAAGGAATATACAGGGAGGGAGAGAGAGTCCAGGGTGGATGACTTGAAGGTTGTTCAAGGAAACTGACTTAAGTTGGTGTGATATTGACAATACATGTGTTGGTTTCATAGTGCACCAAGTGGAGGAAGCCTTTCAGGTGTTAGAGTGCCTTTGCCTTCCAAAGGTACAGCTAAGTCATCTTTGTCTTTGCCACAGTGTATATTTCTGAAAAAAAAAGAAAAAAATAAATTGTAATACTTCATGAGATGTAGTTGTTCTTGGCATGTTGGTCTATTCTAACAGAAGTAATGCAGCACAGTGGAAGGATTAACACATACCAGTTCCCTGGCATTTAGTTCTGGTTTTGTTCTGAGTGATCAACTCAGAAGTTACAGTGTGACACAGTAAAAGTTAGTGGAGTGGTGATGGTACTTAAGGAGAGAAAACACAAGAACTGAAGATATCAGAATGCACAGTGGTGGAAAATTACTTTTATTATTTTACAATATTTTGACTTTTATTATATTATGATACACCCAGAATGGTGTATTGTAAGAGAGAGAAGCCTATTCAGGATTGGATGTGCAAAGAAATTAAGTATGCAGGTTGGGAATGCTGAGCTGGGGAGGCATCACAGCACACCTATTAGTACAGATCCTCAGCACTAGGGATTTGCTGCTCAGAAAACTTGCACAACTTCTCATTGTAGTTAAAGTCTCATGGCTTTAACTATAGGAATATGATTGTGTAATTAGCTATGCAGAGAAATGCTGTAACTCCTCATGCAGGCTCATGTTCCCATGTAAGACCTCTCCACAAAGATCTGGTCTTTTATTCATTAGTATATATGAAACTTGTGTTAATACTGACCTACTTTAAACACGCTTGTTGATGAGTCACTGGTGTTCCACCTTCAGGAGAAGTTACTTCTTCCAAATACTAAATGACATTTCAGTAGTTAGACTATGACACGGTTGCTTATGGAAAGCTGTAATTAGCAAATACTTATGGCTGTAATTACAGAAATAATAGTCTCAGTTCAGATTGGGACGCTTATGATAACTTAGTTTATTGTTTCGCTTCATACATGCTTCGTTATTCCATTTTGATTTTCACAGTGAAAACCCAAAAATGCAACATTAAAGGAATGTCCATTTTCCATGAGTTTGCTCTTCTCTTACAGTACTTTATTGTACTATACCACTTACCCTTTTCAACAATGCTGTTAGAATGTATCAGCTTTTCTTATGTTTCTGCTACAGGCGGAACCCCCACAAGTGTAAGGAAGCTTGGGGGAAAAAAAAGCTCCACTGCTCGTACTAGAGAAAATCAGGAGAGTGAGACTAGCTGTCTTATGGAAAAGATGACACTTCCAAATTAGCCATTGACTGGTGTGTTGAAATACTGCCCGAGTCGTCATTCCAGGTATCCACTAAAATCCCAACGACTTGTATTTCATTTCAGTTTTGCAATTAATTCAGGGCCAGAGGGTGTCTGGTGGTGTTTGCTACACAGCAAAGTTTAAATTAAAAAAATGACACATGGGCTGTGAAGTGCAGAGAAACATTGATGAGAGCTTTCAAGCTTAAGGCACAGACACTGGACTGGGAAACAGAGCAAATGATACCAGTCTTACCTGCCTTCAGAAACTGATACTGGGATTTGATGTCAGCTCTGTATGAAAAATACTTCAATTGTGTATGGACATAGCTTCAGTATGACTCTTTATGCCATTTGCCAGAGTTAGCTTCACCCTTCTGATTTCATAATATTCACAGCTGTTGTTAATTTCACTGTGATTGCAACAGGAATGATGTAGCAGTGTGTTGGAAACTTATTTGATTTTGCAGGTCTCCAGCTGTAGGTTAGTGATGTAGGTTAATAAATGTTAGCATTTGCCAATCACTCTGATGGCTATATATGTGAAATTAATATAAAACAAATGAGTCTAACTAGGAAAGCGTGATAATACTCTTTTTTTTTTTCCAAGTTTTCCCCGTGTTTCCAGCCGAAGGATGGTAAAGCACAGATAAGACAGATAAAGCACAATGCATTGGGTAATTCCTGTGTATGCAAATGGGCACTAAACACTAAAAACAGATAAATGCCAAATGTCCTTGTTTCTTTATTCACATAAGTAGCGAAAATGAGGTTTCTGTGTGGGCATAACCAACACAGAATTATGTGATATGTAATAGCTAAAATGCTTGATAATGCAGAGTCATTATAATTTTTTAAAATAAATTGTCATTAGAATATATCCAATTCGGTAATGACCTATCCTTATGCAGTTTATTTTGTAAAGATTCCCAGGTAAACTGAGTGATTTTTTTTTTTTTTTTTTGATCTTTAAATCACAACACAGTCATTTAAGATTTGCTTGCTACTTCACAAGACCTCTACAGCAAGCTCACTCTCTAATTAAAAGTAGATCCATTCCTTCTTCTTTTACCCAGCAATATTTTTACCCTAACGTTTTTGTCCCAGAAATGACTATACTGTTGCTTCAGAAATTTGTTGTCTTTATGAATAGATGAGTATACATATTATTTGTAACTAAGTTTAAAATGTATGTGTGCACACTTTGTTTTAATATATATGTATATGTGTGTGTTTCTTTTTACATTTTAGAGCTGTGATGGCCAGTCACCAAGCAGAAGTTCAGAGTTTGAAGCTAGATAATGATTCAGTTATAGAAGGAATAAGTGACCAGGTACTGGTGGCAGTTGTGCTCAGTTTCACTTTCATTGCTGCTCTGGTATATACGCTTTTAAGGTGAGAATATGTTGACAGGAATTAATCCACATACCTGCATTTATGAAATTCTGACTTTCTCAACAGATATTTGCATTGCTACATAAAAACTGTGACTTTTTGACATTTAAGGAAGTGATTGTTTAATCGCTTACTCTGTTTCGTGGTTTAACTCACAGTCAGAATGAGATGATGTGTTTCTCAAAAGTGGAGTTTAACTCTTCCTTATCTTCAGATGATCAAACTGAATGATATTCATCATTCCTTAAAACTGAAAATGGCTGAATTCACTGTCTGTATGGCTGCTCTGTCATATTTGGTTACAAAGTACAGATTTGTCAACAGTGACTCCAAAATTAAAATTGGATATAATCTTCCAATGTAGGTTCTAGTTGCAGTCTCTTTCCAAAACAAACAAACAAACAAAAAAACCAAACCCAAGAAAAAAACAATCCAAAAAACTCCAAACTCAAACAAATTGATTTGTTTATGGATGAATATGCTGTTAAAACAGTGGACTTTAATATGCTTTCATAAAACAAAACACTAAGTTCAGAATTCAGTAACTCTTAATGGTCAAGTCATCAAAGCTTATTTTCATTTCAGAGTTGTCTTTGCAAATTAGCAAATATCCTAGCCTATGTGTTTTGATAAAATGAGTCTGAGCTTCAGACTGGCTTCTTTTCTTTTTGTTTTTATTGATGTCTGTAGACTTTTGAAAAGAGAATACTTTTTACAACCGAGAGAACTCAATTTTAGTGACACATTGGCATTATTAAATTTACTGAGGAGGATATGTCCATAGGAGAAATATTAGAAGGGTAGGAGTTACTTGAGAGCAAGTAACAGAAGAAACTAGAAGAAACTAGAAGTGGGAAAGCTTGATTGGACTGCAAGGCAGTGCTGCTGTCCAGGACCAGGAGACCACAAAGGAATCTTAAGAGAAACATACTCACTTCACCTTGCCTTTTTTCCCCAAAAGTGTTCCAGTTATTCAGGTTGCTTCAAGATGGCCTCTTTTTTCTTTACTCTCTGAGGATTTTGTCTGTCCATTATGTTGGCATTTTTGGCATTTGTGGCTTGAGTTGTGTTTAGTTTAAAAATTAGGTTTAAAATACTAAAAAAGTAACATTTTGTTTTTGAACTTTATTAAGTAAGTTAGGAACATGAAAAAAAAAAACAGAGAGTGGAACAAGGGTCAGCAGTGGGCAAGAGTAGCAGGAGTTCAGTCAGAATTGGAGTTCAGGGAGGAGATACGTCAGTGATGAAAGGTTACTTGGGGAGGGAGATAAGGGCTAGTTACTAACCTCCTCTGCAGTGTAACGACCTAGGTAAAAGGTTTGTCTGTGGATCCTGCTACATACTTGTATGGTTTATTTTCGGGAGGGGTAAACGAACTCAGACACAAAGCTTGCAGACTTTGGAAGCCTGGAAGCTTGTTTACTTCTGCATTGTATGAGTCTTGTCCAGTGACAAGACTCGAGGAAATGGGCTGAAGCTGAGTCAGGGGAGGTTTAGATTAGGTACCAGGAAAAGGTTTTTCACCCAAAGGGTGGTGGGGCACTGGAACAGGCTCTCCAGGGTAGTGGTCCCAACACCAAGCCTGACAGAGTTCCAGAAGTGTTTGGACAATGCTCTCAGGCACGTGGTGTGATTCCTGGGATGTCCTGTGTAGGGCCAGGGGTTGGACTTGATGATCCTTGTGGGTCCCTTCCAACTCATCATGTGCTATGATTCTGTGATGACTGACAGCCTTAGCAGCATCCTCTTACCTCTCCTCTCTGCCTTCTGGTACTTTCCGAAATTGCCTGTATTCAGCAGCACTTTTCCTCTACCTCCTTTGTATTGTCACCATCAAGATCCGCACACTATGGTAGAAAATCTGTCCAGTAAAAAAACTATGGTACTTTTAATTTACTTAGCACACAGTGGGGGAGAAGAAGAGTATTTTCTTTTTCTTATCTTGTTACTTTAGGCATTACAGCTGTCTGTGTGATCCTTATACTGTGTCCATTAGCCCAGTCTCTTTGCCACCCATATTTCTCTACATGGCATCTGAAATACTTAAGTTGGGTAGGAACAGGTCCTGAGTAAGAATACATGAAAGAATGCTTAGAGTAATGCACAGTTGCAGGAACAGAATAAAAAGGGAAAGTAAGTGAGTAGCTGTTGCAGTATATTTTAGGAAGGAACTGTTAAGAGATGTGGTTGCTGTACTTGTTTCCAGCACTGAGAACTCAGTGAAACATCACATCATGGCACGAGCCAAAGGGGTTCATGCTTCTGGCAGAGAAACTTACTAGCCATAATTAACACATGTACCAAGTTGCAGATGTTTAGTTCAGGTATTATATGATAGACTTTTTGTAAAGCATGTATGTTTTTGAATTATGCATTTTGATAAAATGAAACCAGATTTTTTTTCCATCGTCTTTAAAACTGGTGAGCAGGTTGTCACAAGTGAGATTGTAAAAATTCAGACTAGTCAACAAATTAAAGGGAGACTGACCCTTTAATTCCCTCCTGGAGAGTCCCTATTTATCCCAGATGACTTACCTGCTCCATCTCATTTTTCTATCCCATCATGTGGTTTGATTATAAGATCAAGTTGGTATTTTCAGCAGAAGTGAGATCTTACTCCTTGAAAATTAGCAATGGCCATCGCTGCACAGTGATGCACCAGTCCCCATAAGTCCTGTCCCTCACTTTTCTTGTGAGGCAGTACACACAGTATGAGTAGTCAGCCTTCCTCCTTCCAATAATAGTAGTTTGGTGGGGCCTTCTGTGGCACATAATACAATCTTTCCACATCATGGGACTTTTTTTTCCTTAAATTTTGGAGTGCTAGCACTCCAAAGTGGAGAAATGAAAATCTAACTTTATTTCTTTCTGGCTTGTGATTGATAATACCTTTAATTGCATAGCACCATACTGGTTTTCATTTATTTAATTTAGCTTCTCACTCTAATTGCATCACAGGAGTTGTGAATTTGATATGTCTTGAGCTGTGCCTGCACCCTCCTGAATATTGCACAGTGTTTTGCTACCTCATCATCTTATGCATAAGTGACAGTATATGCTGTACCTCTACAGCTCTACAAATGCTCTCATCTACTCAGCACAGCATGTAATGCCAGGGTAAAGTCATATAAATCAACATTTTAGCAGCAAATTTGCAATTAGTTGTTTGTGGAGAAATCAAATTAAACTTGCTTATAATTCACACTTTCTACTTGTGTGTGAATTGAATTGAATTTCAGTATGTACCAAAAGTTCTGGCAAACTGAAGGTGTGAAATATGGTCTTTTTTGTAGCATGTAACAAAAAAATACTTTTATACATATAACATGTATGACAGGCAGCATCCACAAAACCTGACTCATGGAGACCCAGGGTGGGTAAGAAGAGTTTTAATAGAGCCTTCCCATTATATAACTTCCATACGTGTCACCCACATTAGTGTTAGATAAATTTACCCTCTGCAGATAGCCGTGTAAGTATCAGCATGAAAAATACAAGGCTTGTTTATTCCTCCTTGAAGAAAGAATGAAGTAGATAAAATGTCAAACATAGCAGTAGTGCAGTATTGTGATTTGCCTGCATTAAATGAAGAAAAATATTGCAGAAGCCCCTAGAGCCATTGGGGAAATGATGTAACAGAACTGCAACCAAAAAATGTCCTAAAAATTCAGCCAGTCCAGCCCTCATCGCTGATAGAGGATCAGCTTGCCTAGATAACACTGGAAGCATTGCAACATGGTTTTTTTTAGTCTAACTTCTAGTCAAGTTAGATCACAATACCCTGAAGTGATCTTCTCTTGTTTTGTACACTTAGTGGTTAAGAAATGGTTTTCCATGAACTTAGATAACTGTGAGAAATAATTGCTCATATCTATAGAATGAAAGCCTTATTCTGTCCCCTTTTCTCTCCGTGAACAGTCTTCTATATGAAGTGACATTTCTTCTTTCTTTCTTTAGCGTTTAAAAAAGGTGGGCAGTAGTTCTTTTTCTCTTCTGAACTTCCTCCAACTTTTCTGTATGTTTTTATGCATTTAGCCCAAAATGGAGAACAGAGTTCAGCTGAGACCTCGACAGTGCTGAGCAGAATGTACCACCATTGACATCCATATGAATAAATAAAGCATAAAAATTGTTACCAGCATATTTTTCTAACTCCAATTCAGTTCCCATTGTGCTTTTGAATTTCAAATTTGTGATATATCCATCCTCCTTTCTTCAGTGAGTCCCTTTCCTATGATTCCTCTTGGTATCTCCAGCCTGTCATTTTCTTGCCTGTAGAGTCCTTCTTTTTTAAAAAAGAGTGATTTTAAAAGAATGATTTCTTTTTATATCCAGTCTGCTGATAGTTACATAAATTCAACATTCTAAATCTAAGAGTTTGTCTACTCTTTCTTATGTAAATGTTATGTGGCAGATAAAATTGAAATAGTTAGGGGGTTTCAGCTCTATAACTTAGGCAGTAAGTGAAAAACTAATAAATCTTTGAGTAAGCCAACAAGTAAAAAACTAGCACTGGAGACATAAATGATAATTATTTCTGCTTGTTTAATATAAAAGCTTTCAAGTGACTTCATTTTTTGTTGGTTTATGGCTTAATTGTTTTTCAGATTCAGATCTAGTTTTAACATGATTTAATGATTGATTATGGAGGCTATCTGAAAAATCTTGCTGCTATACAGCTTTAAATGTTCAAAGTAACTTTAGGATCCAGAATAAATGTCCTGTTTCCTTAATTGTTTGTGTACTTCCTTTAAAATCCTTTAAAGCAGGAAAGAATGATTCTTTTGCCCTTTGTTCAAGTTTCATATTTTTTTTTCCAATGACTTATTTTTCAGTTTCGGGTCACAGTGTTTTTTATTGCTCGTATTTCCTTTCACAGAAATGAACATCAGAACATACATCCAGAAAATCAAGAGCTAGTGCGAGCTCTTCGTCAGCAGCTTCAGACGGAGCAGGTGCTGTGCTGAGCGTTGCCATCATTCTGCTCTCTGATGTGGGGTAGTGTAGACCTCGCTGTGGTTCTGGAAGAAGCTGGTTATAGAAGCTTACTTACTGTACAGAGCCATCTTTGAAATTCATCAAGTAATGAGACAACGTAGGCTTTTTTCTAATGGATGCATTAAGTAATTAAGACTAATCATTTGGCTGGTTCTTTTTCTCCACAAGGTGGAGTATGTTGGGTGAAGCTGTGTGCTTCCTGCAGTGCTCCTGGGAACTTAGTGGCAAAGGAAAGGAAATCTGGAGCGCAGTTGCCAAGGCAGGGCAGGGGTTAGATGTTTAGACTGATAAACAGTGTAGCAGAACAATGGCACAGCGGCAAAAGCCAAGCAACAAAGAGTGACAGAAGCTTTTTACCAAAGCCTTCAGTAACAGGATAGGGAGCAATGGTTTTAAACTGAAAGAGGGTGGGGTTTAGACAGGACATAAGGAAGAAATTCTTTAGTGTGAGGGTGGTGAGACACTGGAACAGGTTGCCCAGAGAAGTTATGGATGCCACATCCCTGGAAGTGTTCAAGGGCAGGCTGGACATGGCATGGAACATCCTAGTCTAATGGAAGGTGTCCCTGCCCATGGCAGAAGGGTTGGAACTGGGTGATCTTTAAAGGTCCAGCTCAGACCATTCCGTGAGTCTGTGACTGCGTCTAGTTCTGACAGGTAAAGTCTAGGCCAGGTTGCTGGCAATTGCTGAGTACCAGCCCCAGAGTGAAAAGCCATTCTTCTGGAGAATACTGAGAAGAGTCCTTCACTGCGGTGCTTCTTAAAATAATGACAGTGCATATTTATGGGAAAGACAAATAGGGCAAAATGGGGAGAAGGACTATTTCATGGCAGTGACGTACTCAAGCTGGTGCCTGTGCTTGGTCTTGAAAACACTAAATGCTGGTTAGCAACACAGTTCAGTTACCTGGTTCTGGACAGATCTACTGTCTAGGATAATGACATAACAGTATAGATCTGAGGTTGTTATTCATGCTTCGGCATATCTAGCCTAACTCAATGTGAAGAACCAAGAAGGTTCTTTCTTTGTGATCTTCAACCGTGAAGCACACACTTACATAACAGATGAAGGGAAAATAATGGGCTGGTCACAAGAAGAACTTGCTTAGTGAATCAATGCATATACGTATGCTTGATTTCGGCATTTAAATATATTTCTCCTTCATTTCACATGGCTCTGTGTTTGACTTGTAGTAAATGAATGCTAATTTTTAATTAATATTATTAATATTGGTATTGGTATTATTATTTTAAACCCAGTGGACTTATATAAATATAGTATCTCTTAACGCTTTGCATTTCTCTGCTGTTCCAGCAGGATGCCTCTGCTGGTGATCGACATCGCTTTTATACAGACATGTCCTGTCCAGTCTGTTTGCAGCAGGCTACATTTCCTATAGAAACAAACTGTGGGCACCTCTTCTGTGGTAAGCAAGAACAACTCCCAGTTGCAAAGATAAAACCAGAACAGGAATACAAACTTCTGCCACAAGTGCAGGCACCCTAATTCAAAGCTTTGTTTGCTTTTAACTGACTTCTAGTCTGCATTAGAAATCAATTTTTTAGAAATAGTTGAGAAAATACATTTCTGAGTAAACAGACACTTTGAAAGTGTGCTTCACTTTTTTTCTATGCTATCGGGACTTCAACTGTGGTTAATTCTAAAGTGTCAAAGAGTATAATTTTTTTCCATTGTAGTAGAAAACTGAAGAGGCTGAAAAACATTTGGAAATGAACCATTTGGAAAAACTGATTTAGAAAGAGTAAAACATTCTGCTTGGTATTATCTTTATCTCAGAGAATTTTTTTTTTTTTTGAAGTCCTGAAGAATTAAACCAAGTTCACAAGGATTAAAGTGTTTGCCTCTTTTTTTTTTTTTTTTTTTTTGTGGCCCTGCTATTCAAATTTATAGATAAACATCCTACATAGCATTTAGCTTCCTCTTCTTCAGGTTCCCAGTAGGATTCTTTCACTGCATTCATCTAGATTTATGGAGCATATAGTGCATACCATGCCTAGTTGTTTAAATGAAAAAATATACAAGTTTGGAGAACAGTTAAAGTACTCACATTTTGATATATTTCTTCATCTGTTGAAACTCTGGTGATAAAGCCAGGTTTTTAGGATAAATTTTGCATCTCATGACATTTTTGTGATTTCTACATTTGAAACTGGCAAAAATTTTAATTATTTGTTTCTTAATGACTAAAAAATTTGCTTTGTTTTCAGAAAGTCATACCTTAAAATTAATGACTCAGTTGAATCCTGTTCAGGATTTTTCTCATTAATAGCACTGAATGTGAACATGTTGGCTCATGGCATCTTCAGTGAATGCTGTATACAAAATTACGTAAGAAAATGTAGATTTAACCTAACTGCTTCTGCACTTCTGTTGTTTTCCTTGGTGTGTAATGGGTTTTTCAGCTCAGAAGTTTAAATGCCTGTGACTTGCTTCCACCAGGTTCCTGCATTATTGCCTACTGGAGGTACGGCTCGTGGCTCGGTGCCATCCGTTGTCCGATCTGCAGGCAGACGGTAATATTTTAAGTAACTGTGAACCTGACAATTTGGCTATCTAGTACAGCCTGCCTCGGGGCACTTACATGTGAACTGCAGTAGTGAGGCTCACAGATGAGGAAGTCTGAGAAGCTGACTTTAAATAGAGGGATATGTAAGACATGAGTAGTGGACATTCAGTTTTCCTGAACTTTTTGCTTTGCCAATTGGCTCAAAAAATACAGATTGTTCCTGCAACTCAAATATAAGCAAACAGCGCTGATAAGTCAGCCAGTTTTTCTGTAAAGGAGTATATGAAAACAGAAAATTTTGAGATTTTAACTGTGGTCCTTTCATGCTTTCTGTTTGGGATGTAATAAAAATTCTTTACCAGAACTTGCATCTCGAAGGCCTGGCTGTTGTGGAAGACTGCCAGTAGGCAGTGCACTACTGGTTTCTAAGAAGTGCCCTCTCCCTTCCTTCTCTCCCTACCAGAAAAACCTATCCATGTCAATTTCTTATTTTGTCCCTATTTTTAGCTTGTATGTATTATTAATTTGAGCTTTGTAGAGCAAGCATTAACTTACTTCCTACGCAACTTACTTACATTGTCAGTTTGAAATATGTTCCTGCAACTCATTAACTCTTTCTTAGGATCTCTTGAGTCTGATAGTGTATGTTTTAACAAAAGTACATCTTTTATATTATAACAGTGCACAAACTACAAAGCCAATAACTTCTGATTAATTGTATAACTTGCTTCTTGCCCTTGCCCCTCCATTATATCCTGCTTTGATTGTGTTTTTCAGCAGGACAAATGACTCTAAGAACACAGATGAAGGAAAGAATAATAGGTATGACTGGAGGGAGAAGGTGTAGGTTTAGAGTGTAGCCAGTGAGGAAAAAGATACAAAAGCTAAAAGTGAGGAAGGGGGAAAGTAAATGATTTTTTTAGTGTCTTTCCTTAAATCTATGTTCATTTACCTTCTTTCTGAGTACCAGGTAAATTAGGTGGTACTGCTTGCATGGTTACATATTCATTCTCACCCTGATTTATAAATGGGGAGGGGAAGTATGTAGACATGAACAACATGAGTCATAGAGGGGGTTTGTGGCAGGGCTAGGAGTTGAATGTCGATCTGCTCATGCTGTCATTTGCTAAATTTGACTGCCACACCGATTCCAGATGTATGTGAATATTGTGGCAGTTTGGGGCACCACAATACGAGAAGGATCTGAAGCTGTTAGAGAGTGTCCAAAGGAGGGCCATGAAGATGGTGAAGGGCCTTGATTTGAAGCCCTGTGAAGAGCAGCTGAGGGCACTCCTGGAGAAGAGGAGACTGAGGGGAGACCTCATTGCAGTTACAACTTCCTCATGAGGGGAAGAGGAGGGGCAGGCACTGATTTCTGCTCTATGGTGATCAGGGACAGAACCTGAGGGAATGGCCTGAAGTTGTGTCAGAGGAGGTTTAGGTTGAATATTAGAAAAAGGTTCTTCCCCCAGAGAGTGGTTGGGCACTGAACAGGCTCCCTAGGGCAGTGGGCACAGCACCAAGCCTGACAGAGTTCAAGAGACATTTGGATGATACTCTCAGGCACATGGTGTGACTCTTGGGGTTGGTCCTTTGCGGGGCTGAGTTGGACTTGTGATACTGTGATTCTGTGAATCTGACCTTCCATACTGCTCTATGTTTGCATGAAAGTTAACCCAACAGAGCAGAATTCTCGGTGCTTACAAAAGAGCTGAAGAGTAATATCTTTTTTGTTCATTTATTATTCTGTATTGTTCTCCTTCATCTTGGTATGAATACCCATAAGTAAAAATGTAAGTGTTGCTGCTTGTTTGTTGCCATACAGGGCCATTCTAAAGATTGAAAAGTAAAGGCCTCATTGATTGCTTTATTTAATTTTCAATTTAAGAAACAAAATTAGATTAATTTGGTAAATTAACTTTGTTCTCATAATCATCTGTCCCACTTAAGAAACATAAAACATTTAGATGTTCAGAAAAAATATCTGTAAGTCTCTTTTAAAAGGAAAGTTCTCGGGCTTTTTTTTAACAATCTCTTTAAAAATTAATATTCTATAAAGAATTGCAAGCAATTAATTAGTTAAAACTTAATAGCAGTATCCATCTTAGTTTATTTAGTTTCAGTTTACTCACGTATTAAATATTCAACTAAACTAAAGTTTGTTCCGGGTAGTTAACTGAAGATGACTGTTCTCATTTATGGTTCACAATCTCTACATTTAAAAGGCAGTGGCACATGTAACATAATCTCCCTCTTGTACCTAGGTAACGTTGTTTTTACCACTCTTTGGTGAAGATCAGCAGGGTGCAAACCAAGTGTTTCAAGATGTTAGTGATTACAATCGGAGATTCTCTGGACAGCCCAGATCTGTAAGTTTTGGGTAAACTTGGGCAGAAGTCAGTGATTTTTAGGAGAGATTAAGAGCATTTTTTAATTATTTTTTCCCCTTCTTTTTTTTTTTTTTTCCACTGGGATATGGATTTTCTCTTCATGATCCTAGGTCCTAGGCAAGTCTTTTTTTTTTTTTTTTAGGAAATTCACGTTTATACAGTTAGGTCAAACCCAAGACCTCAAAGTTATTTATTTGTGATTTGTGGAAATGTACAGAAACCTGCGTTTTCGTTGTAAGTGAGAACTGCTAATAAGCCTTGAATTTCCTGGTCATGCAATAAGCTGTTTTTTAGGTATGAGTCATTATTTTGAAAGGATCAATAATCAGTAAAAATACTTACTGAAATACATGACCTGCAAGTGAAAATATTCATTTGATTGTTCTCTTTACATTGATTAGAAAAGGTTCTACTCTGCGCCCTTCTTCCTCAGATTTCAGGCTATATGCTGTCTTGACTTTTTTATTTTCCTCATAAATTATACTGCAGTCTTTATTCTCCTCTCTGAGTGATGAAAACAGGATTTTTTTTCTATAAACAGCTAAGAGATATGGTCAAAGTTATGCAAACTTTAGAATGTCAGCCCTGTGAGCCTGTCTTCTGTTTCACAAGGTGAAACACACACACACATATGCTGGTAACTCCCTGCTTGTCTTCATTTGTCCATTGGATTTGGATACAGTAAGAAAATATCAGCAAGAAAAATTTACAGTCCAAAGAGACAGAAGAGAGAGTTGTTTTGGTTTTTTTTTATGTTCTAAGCCACAAAGCAGTTATGCTTTTGATCCAGAATAGTTTGAGACAACCTTTCAGGCTCCATTAGACCTCTCTGTGGGCTCTGTGTCTAGTCCCCAGTAACCTGTCTGAGATCACACCAGAAGTCTGCATTAAAGCCCTAATTAGACTAGATAAATTGTCTTTGATTTATACACAGTGTTTTGCCTTAACCACACACGAAATTCCTTTCTTGAAAATCTTTTTAGCCTTGGCAATAACTCATTTTAATGGAGTTTAATGGCCCTGTGTAGGAACTGTGTATAGTAGAAAGAAGCAGGTTTAAAAAAAATGTAGAAGTTCACCCCTTTCCCCTCTTCACAACAGAAGCCTGAATATTTTCTACTGAGCAGTCACTCACTAAGCTGTCAGAATCATAGTAGAAAAATAGAAAGAAGCCATGAATGGATTAATTTAAAGGTTCTTTAGTACATTTGTTTTCCTCCAGTAGGCCTTGCTTTTCCTTCATAGTAGATGCCAATGTATTTTCTAGTGATGTATGTTTTACCTTACACAGTAACACAGTTTGACTATTTCTTGAAAACATATCTATTCCAAATCTGATGTACTACCCCGCAAAACTAAATCAAGTCTTGTCTTACTGGTTTTTGGTTTAATTCCTATAAACTAAGAGTTTCTAATCTGTAATGCAGTAGCAGAAATTTCAGTTTAGCATGGATGTGTTGCTAAAGCCAAGTATTAACTTTTGGTTTCTTTGTAGATTATGGAAAGAATTATGGATCTGCCCACTTTACTGCGACATGCTTTCAGGGAGATGTTTTCTGTTGGGGGCCTCTTCTGGATGTTTCGCATCAGAATATTCCTCTGCCTAATTGGAGCCTTGCTCTACCTGGCTTCACCTCTGGATTTTCTTCCTGAAGCACTCTTTGGAATTCTGGGTTTCTTGGATGATTTCTTTGTCATTTTTCTTCTGCTAATATATATCTCTATCATGTACCGTGAAGTGGTGACACAGCGTCTGAACAGATGAAATGGACGAAAATGGCCCAAAAGCAGAGGCAGTTGTGGAATGTTTTAAAAAGAGAACTATAATGTAAGTGTGATATGGCAAGGTGCCTGTGTACAGTTTTAGTAGTAACAATTTCTTAGCTGGTTGGCTCATACAAGTATGAAGGGTTGATATGTGGTGATGCTTAACTGGAATTTTTAATTTGTGCGTTACATGTGCTTCATAAGGAGGAGATTAGTTTTATTATGTTGTAATAAACTACCTTCATCTACTTCCACCTGATGAACAGCTGTATCTAATCAAAGCAGGAAACACCTTTCTGGTGTGTTGTGGTTTGCGAAAATAAAATTCTAGTGAAGGACTTCAAAAAGTAAGTCCGTTTGAGTAATCTAGACAAGCGTAAGAAAATTCAGAAATTCTTCACAGTACAGTTAAATTGTTTGATTTAACAATTGTTTGATCACAAATTCCTGTTGTGGGCTAGAGTTTTTTGAAATAAAAGTAGCTTTGTGTGTCTCTGTGAAGAAGAAACCCAAAGACCGCGTTACAGTCATTCATCACCCCGCAGTTGGTTGTCCTCCACCTGCTTCACAAAAGCAAGGGTAACACCTCTAGTATTGCTTGAACTGCACTGTGTACAGTTGCATGCAGTTCATGCCATTTTGTTTTTGTATTTGGGAGTTTACACAGGGAATCTGACCTGCATTGAGAAGCCAGCATCACGCACACCAGAGTGGTTCGTGCTGCGCTCCTGGAGTGGGAGCATGGTTTTCCTCCTTCAGACTTGTTTGTTTGGTAGGTGTGTATCATGGAGGAGAGGGTTCTGTGCTGCTTTGGGTCAAGGCAATGTGTCTGAAATGAGAGTTTGCATTCCTTTAGTTGCTTTAAGACATTTAGCCGATTGGAGGGGACCCTCAAGTTTCAGATAGGAATGAAAAAAAAAGCAGTCAGAACTGGATGTTTTCACTACCATGTTCATGAACAGTGTAGATGTTAACCTGAATGTACATTCTGCAGTACAATTACTAAACAACTTAGATGCTGGGGTGTTTGATTTTCAGTTGGAGTTTTCTTTTTTGGTTGGTTGGTTGACTTGGATGTGGATAGAAGGTGTTCTGAATTACCTTGAAAAATATCTGTGATAAGGGACCACAAAGAAATCCTGGAAATGTTTTCAAAAATACCAGGGTATTAATCATCCCTAAAGCTGATATTTTTTTTTTTTTTATGTTGAATTTGAGCACAGGCTACCATAGCAATTTGAAAATACTTTCATTTTAAGCAGGGAACGCCACTAGAAAGGTCCAGGATGTGACAGATCAATGTATTTTTTAGTTAGAAGAATGATGATTGCAATTTTTTTTTAACTTCCTGAGTACTTGAAAGACAGTGAATTGACAGATGATTCTTAGCATGTTTACATATATGGGATGAAACTTAGGATGAAAGGGACCTTTTCACAATTTCTGTGTTTTTCCCGTGCAGGTGTCTTTCCACAGTTTCTAGCACTTAGGTATGTGCAGGAAGATGACAGAGCTGGAACCTGAGGTGTCAGTGGTTTGGGGTAGAGATTGTCCTTCACTGTCAGTGTTTCTGAAAATCCAGAAACATTTTAAAAATGTTAACAGAAAGCTATTTTTTTCCTTATTGCTGTTTGTTAGAGGTGTGCAAGAAGAGAAAAAGGAAGTGCAACAAGGGTAGGAGAAGGACAGCTAGACAGAAAATTACGTTTTTGGAAACAAGTGCTATTGGTTTTTGCAAACTCACTGTTCTTGAGCTTCTTGGTTGAGCTTTTCCCGTTTTGTTGGCACTGGTGATAGTTTAGTGGCTACCTCAGTCAAAAGTCATTAAAGTATTATCAAGTAAGCATGGGGTGTTTATAAGCTGTTAGGTACATTTAGAAAACAAGATAGTGGTTTAGGATGTTAGATAAGACAAGATTTCACAGTTTTGCTGGAAGTACTGTTTTGGGGGTTTTTTGTTTTCCTGAGAAATCCAGCTGAGGGCAAACTCCAAAAATTTATTTTTAATTGAGTAAATTTAACACCCCCTTTCCTCCTGGAGTTTAACTTGAAAATCTGTTTAGAGAAGAGTGTGAACTGCTGTTGTACAATAACTGGAGTCCATTCGTAGAAGTTGTTGATCTGGTATCTCCTCCATATTTTTATCCTATGATTGTGTTTATAATTCTCCTACGGTTCTCTAAATCCAGAGTAGATATAGATGCACATGAACCTGCTTAATGATTTGTGTCCTTTGAGCTTCCCAATCCCACATGCTACTGTTAAGTTCATGCAGAATTACCCATCCAGTTTAAGGGGTCTGCTCCTAAAGAGTGGACCTTCTTGTGTACCTGAAATCATACACAAACCACATCTGAAAGCCCATATGAAGTTTCTCCGTGTTCCTTTTCTTCAGTACATTTCTGATGGCCAGAAGGGTTTTCACTCAGAGGCTTCTGCTTACTTTTGAATATTGGGTAACATTGTAAGCTTAAATTCAACACATTAAATGCTTGACAGAATTAGGACCATCCTTCCTTTTCACCAGCACGTGTGCTTGCTTGTGAATACTTTTTTTTTTTGGTCCTGCAAGCTGGTGACAAGCAGTATTACGACTTGCTCAGGCCTTTTTGTGTAATGTGAAGATGCATCTGTCCTGCAGCGTCTGGCTGCTGCTCCTTTACACAAATCTGAAATAGCTGTAAATTAGTTATCTTGGGTACTTAGCTTGGACTTAACCTAAACTCTAGAGCTCCCAAGAAGCTGAAGATTAAAACATGAGCGTGTGTTATTCCCGAACTGTGTGCTGCCAAGTTGTTCTGGCAGCAGTGTTAAAGGTAAAGGCTAGAGCTGAGCCCTGGCTTCGGGGTGTGAAGGAAATACCTGATGATGTGTGCAGAGTGACTGCAAATGTGCTTGGTTTTGTCTCCTGGGATGGGGCAGGCATGTCACTAAGGGGGGGAAATAAGAAAATGGAAAACTATAGCAGGAAGAGGTACAGAGATAAAATACAGTCCTTAAAAGATTACAGTGTCGCCAGAAACTTTGTGAAATATATGATTGTTCCAGCAATATTAACAAGGAGGGAAACAAAAGTTGTATTTAATAGCTCTTACACAGTAACTTGTAGCATCTTGAGGCCTAATGGTCATCGCTGTATAGAGCAATCTGTTTCTGTGCTGTTCGTGTGCCACACCAGTGATGTCTGTGAGGACCAGGCAGAACGGTGTGGTTTGGGGATACAATTTTGCTGTAAGTTTCATAGAACTGTAGCACTATGTTACACTAGATTTTTAAGACAAAAGGATATAAAACTACTTGTTGTTACTTTTAATGATAATAAATTGCTGTTAAAGTATGAGATTCTCTTGTATTTTTTTATGGACTTTCTGGATGCAATGTTTTTTTATTTTCCCGTTTTCCACTTCCCTGGGCTAAAATTGTCAGTGTGGCATCCCAACCTTAAGGGGAAGGGAGAACTCGAGATTCACAGGTGCTCATAGTTGAAAGGAATGACAAAAATCAGAGGGTCTGCAAAAGCTTACGAGTTTGTATTAGTACATTACACACTTCACATGGAAATTGGTATGTTAGTCCTGGACCTGCTATAAAAGTACAGCGTCGTGGGATTTGAACAGAGGGGTAGGTTGAAAGGGAACAGAGAGATGAATTAAGGATGAAAGAAAGGGAGAGGGAAAGACAGATCACTAGTCCTGACTTCAGCATCAATCCAGCTGGTGTGTCCTGGGGGTGCCTGTGCACCTTGGGCTCAGTGTGGCTACCTTTTATAGATAAATTTATCTGCCCTGGAGATAAGTTTTTCACTTTCTGTGCAAATTAGTTATCCTGTGCAGTCCATTCCCCTAGACCTTCCTGGAAATGGGTTGAAGGGCTTCAGGGATCTTTGGTGGTCTTGATCCCCTCCTACAGTCCATGCCCACTTCTGAACCTCACTCCTGCACTCACGCTGTGCCGTGTTGTGTTTATCTCCAGGAGCCAGAACGAGGAGGTTTGTCCCAGAAACGTGCTGCCCTACCTCCACATGGCCCCTCCTCCAGCCACATCCTGTTCTTTCTCACAGTGTGTTGTCACCAACAGTCCTTGGCTGTTATTACCAGCAATCCACAGTTGGCCCCACAGCCTGATGGTGTTTGAGGCATACACATTAGCCTCCTCCTCTTCTAGGCTTCTGCAGGCAGTAACCCCCTGCAGCCTTGATCAACTCCTGTCTTGATGTCTGTGGACAGGGTGTTCAGAGATAACTGAGTGGTTTTGGTCTTTATGATTGCCATTGTAAAGATTACAAAATTTCCAAGACCTTAGTCCCAAAAGCATATTGTACATGGATGTCCTTCCCTGAGCAGTCCAACCACTACCTTCAGATCCATGGGCACCAAGCTTTCAGGATGATAAACCAGTACAGATGAGCAGTTAGCAGCTTCACATAACAACCCTCAAGGAAAAAAAAAAAAACGGTATGAAGTCAGGTGGATGAGAACGTAGGGAAACAGCAAATAGTCTCTCTCGGTTTACAGGAAGGATGAAGGCTGGGGCGGGAAGAACCGAATGTGGCTGGCCTGTGCTGCAGTTCTGGGCCTTCCTCGATTCATGTCATGGAAGGGCCCTGGGCACCAGGAAGACATGTTCCATTATGCTAAGAAATGTCTAAAAATTATTAGCTGGGAAGTCCTGTGCCAAGTTGGGCAAAGTCTTCTGTGAACTTTATAGCCTGCTTTGGCACGCAGTTCCAGTGTTTATGGTGAAACATGTAATTGCATATTTGGTAAGGTGCTGTTAAGTCAGGTACACGCTTCATGGGAAGCTCAGCTAAACACTCAAAGAGTTCCTCAGCCAAGGCTGCCAAAGTAGATGGCTTTTTTAGGAAGTCTGTTGTACAGCTGCAGTTTTAGATAGATTTTTCTGCTCCCAACTGCCGGCCAAAGAGGAAACTGTCCGTTAGTCACCAACACTGGAAGCCACATTTGTTTCAAGGAGTCAGAGCAGTAAGTCATAATATCCCTGTTTCTTTGAGATGGTGCATCCTTGTAGGTTGCCTTCTTCCCTTTTGTGGGCACTGTGTTTTTGATCTGGGGAAGAAGCTACCGAGTTTCATTCAGTGCATGATTCCCTCAACTCAGGGAACCTGCAGATGTTCGGGACAGAGACAGGTCTGCAGATCCTGCTCCCATGTGGACAGCACATCATCAGGCACTGTGGTAAGTAGGGGTGCTTTCTGTAAATCAGTCATTTTGTTCATTCAGGGTGTGAGGAGCCAATCCAAATAATAAAAAAAAATAATCAATACTGCAAAATGAGCAAAAAAATGCAGGAGAATAAAGCTGAGTTTCCCATTCTGCAGCTTGGATTCAGCCTCTTGGTATGCCCCTGCTCTGTAACAGATTGCCTTCTGTAAGATATTTGTCACTTCAGCATCCACACAGAAGTCCATCATAGGTACATTTTGTTTGTGCCTAAGTAATCCCAGATTTTAACATGGGCATTTCTATTGCCACCTTCGGGGCAAGTGTTAGGGCTGCTGGGTTGAGTGAATGAAATCAAAGGGTGTGGCAGTGTGTGTGGGGAGCAAACAGTGTCCTCCTAAAGTACATTTCTGATTGTGTGATCTGCTCTCACTGGTGCTGCGTGGCCCTCTATGAGGACATCTGAATATCTTGTCTCTCTTTGTTTATGCTAATGCTAGGTTGAAGGCACGAGAACTACGACAACACTAGAAAATACATCCAGAAGTAAAGTATTGGAGAAACTGGTATTTTGGCCCCAGGGTAGACTGAGGAAGACGCGAGTCTTTAAATATGTTAAAGGAGGATGCTGTTTCCTGCATTAGGTATGATGGGAGGAATGAATATGGCTGAGCTTGAACGGTAGCAAATGAGACAGATTAGAAGAAAGTTGCCAAACTGAATGAGGAGATTTTCTCTGGTGGAACATCTCCTGGGAGGCTTCTGAAGGCAGGCAATGACAGTTTTCTGCACAGCTAGTCCTCCCTGGGGAAGGAGCAGAACAATGAAAAGGCGTCTGCTTTCACGGCAGCTGTTCTGGGCCTTAATAGGTATGAGACCAAAGAAGCCTGATCTGACCAAGTCTGTATTACTTCAGGTGTTTCTGACACACATTACCTGCAAGAATCATCTGGCAGACCTGACCAGCTTACCTTTCCCCAGGAGTTTTGCTGAATAGCGGTGTTTAAAATCCATGGCATGGCAATGTGGCTCCACCTTATTTCGGGACACCTTAATGATTATTTACAGTAATATTCCATGTTATTAGTAAAACTCATTGTTTACCCGATATTTTCCAAGAAGAGGACTGTTTTCTCATGATTAACAGATGCTTAATTGGTGGGAGGGAAGGAGAGGGGAAAGGAACATAATTGATAATATTGAGTCCATTGCTCATTGCTGGCAGGTAACCGATGGGGAACCATGGGTGTACCAGGTGTTAGTAATAGCTTGGCTAGAATGTGTTTCATGGAAAGCTGTTCAGCTTCGCTCTAGCATATGCTGTGCTTCACAGTCAAGAATTATTTTCTCCCTCCTCCCTCTTTTTGCCCTCATTCTGGAAACTTATTTCTTCGTTTACCAAGATGGGGTTGCAGCAAAACCTGAAAATAATCCATGCCACGCTTTATATAGGACAGTCAAGTACTCCCGAGTAAGTCACCTTTTCCAGAGAGAGGCTTCCCATCATCCTGTGGGATGCATCCTTACTTTCCAGAGCAGAAAGTCACGCTTTTGTCCCTCTTGCTTTCTTCACCATCTGGGTGCCAGGGGTCGTTGTTTTCTGATGTGACTGCCCTAGTGCCTGGGCCCTGAGGAGGGTCATGATATTCAATTTATTGCAAGTTGACACAAAATGCGCCTCATCAGCTTGCTGGTTTATGTCAGTTTATGTTTTCATCCCATCTAGAGCCTTCAGCATCCAACCAACCTGACCTGAAGCTGCTCTAGTTTCATTTCTCTTTCCCTTGCAGGTTTTTGCAGTTTTGTTCATTCCCATCCTCCTTTCTTACTGTTCTGTGTAAGGAAAGCTGTGAAGATCACAAAGCAAATTTTGATTAATCGCTTGCTCATATGCCACAACAGTTTCACACCTTACCCCTGAATATCCCTTCCAGCCAACCCCTCAACTCTCTTGCGTCTCACAGGCCATGCATCAGGAAGGAAGGAAGGCAGAAATGTCTGTGGTTAAAGCGCCAAACTCCTCATGTAGCAACCTGAAGAACACAATTCAGCACAGCTCTGTGGTTCTGCCTCCCCTCCAGACAAGGAGCTGGGGGGCCTGCTGCCCTTTCCCGAGAAGAACTTGGAAGTCCAGGAAGCTTCTGCCTTATGCCTGTAATTTCCCTTCGCAGTGCCTCCTGGTTTGGTAGCTGCAAGTGGAGAAGGAAGACCAGAAGAAGCACAGCATCCCACAGACCTCCTAGTTAAGCACGGCCGTGTTTGCGCCTGGGAGGCTGGAGAAGAGCCCGTGAACTAAGGAGCTGTTGCATGCAGTTTCACGTCTGGAGAGACTGGTTTTCTCTGTCACTGAGGTTGTCAGGTGCAAGTCTTTTCTTGATGAAAAACAAGGCACTGCTTTGAAAATAACCTCTGTGGTGCTAACCTCTATTTACATACGGGTATTTTGAGCCCCTGGGGTTCTTGTTCTCGTGGTTTCGTGCGCAGCTCCCGCAAGCAAGGATTGTCTCAGTGTGAAAAGAAGAAGAGAAAACTCAGTCAGGAATCATACTAGCAAGGAAGCCAGGAAAAGAAACCAACCATACAAGACACATGATTAAAACCACAAGGACTGGCAACATGGTGCCAGCAAAGCCGTTTCTCTGGAAATCCTGTGAACTTCCCATTCTGGGCTGCTAGGAAAACCCTTTCCTGGATTCAGATTTTCACTCTTGATTCACCTTGCTCAGAAGAAACAGGCAATTGATGGTAATTTCAGATGTTAGATTAGCAGCAGAATTAGCCACACCACCTCAGGCCCAGCAGAACTTGTCCTGTTCTTGCTCTGCAGCAGACTGCTGTCCTCACTGAGTGCCTCAGTGACTCACAGGGGCACTGCTGATGCTGTGGTAGATCTGGGGCAAAGGGGCATAGGGGAGAGATGAAACACTGCCTCATAACCCAGGAGATTGCTGCTGTTTCATTGCCAGGAATGGGAGAAGGAAGTAAGGAGATCTTTACCCTTTGGAGAAGAGAGAGAGTTGGGGACCACCAGCCTGCCAGGAAATGCCTGGAAAGAAGCCCCCAGTATGATATGAGGCCTTGTAATGGGCAGTGAGATCGATCCTCCCAGGGCCCCATGCTCATCCCATGAGGAGCACGAGGTAGACAAAAAGCAATG